TGCCTAACTTCCTAGCCAGGAGGATATAAACAGAAAGTACCCATTATGATATTTACGTGAATTTCCTACGTGAATTTACCATCTCGGTTATTATCCATTTGCAAAGGAAGTGGTATTAGAAAACAAATGGCAATTGACGAGACATAGCTTTTGGTGAACCCATAATTGTTCTAACCCATGGGAGTGAAGCTGCAATAATACCGATGTATGAAATATTATAAGAATGCTCGTTGTGTCATACTTTCTTAATGTGCACACACTTCGCATTCATAAGTGTTCGACAGCTGGATGTATTTATTTTAACACCATCAGGTTCCTGCGTTTCAGAACAGTTTAAATATTATTAACTTACGTCCGGCAGGTGTGAAGAGCAGCAAAGGAGCGCTGTACACCTTCACTCCACGTTTCGTCCGCTTCAACTAATTAACAGTCCACGACTGTTAAGACTCCACACTAGTAACCCGGCGACTCTTCACTGGTCTGATCCAAAGTTATTCCACAGCTCCGAGACTCCGTGTCCTCCACACACTGAACCATCTCTAGTTGGAACAGATTTTCATATTCGTGGTGATGCACGTGACATGAAGTGTCACTACATTACATATAATAAAAACGACTAACCTCTATAATAATATTTTACCGGATGGGTGACGCTGACATATTTGCTTTTTAGTAAGCTGACACCATAAGAAATTATTGATGGCTTCGAAAAACACGATTGAGAGTTCGACTCCCACATGCTGAACCTCCTACAGATCAAAACTCTGTTGTAGAAGACGTTCTTGTCACTGTTGTGATAATGAGGACGAGATACTACTTGTTGTGGGTCATTGACGGGAAAATGACAACCTGCGTAGATTCTGCCAGAGGTAATGGAGGACGGTTTTTACGCAACTGATCTACATAATTACTGATAGTTCTGACAGATGTGGCTTAAAGCTCGATTCAAGGTTCGACTCTTTGTTCTTAGAGTCTCAGTCACACAAAATTCTTGATATACAAGAACATTGTTACGAGTTGGGGATTTAGAATATAGTTAAGTCTACCCAGATCCCAACAGGCAACAACAACAACAAAAACAAAGACAATCATACTACAAAAGGGTTGACAAAGGATGCGAGTTTTTGTTGTGTATAATAAAGTACCATAAATTCCTTAACAAAATATTCAGCTTCTTATAAATTACCCTTAACCATACTTAACCTAATCATACACAACATTGGCTTAACAGTATATTCATATGTATACAACATTAGGAAACAAGTCGACGTGGGAAGGCAATATAAGATTATAAAATACTCAAGTGCAGTGCTGAGATGGCTGACGAGTAAGGCTGAGTATTGAAGAAGATGGTAGGTAGTCACTATGCCGTAGGTTTCCAGGATAGGTGATCCTAGTGTGGTCACTTCTCAGAGTGAACTGAACTGTCCTCGATCTGGAGCTGATGAGGAAGACTTGGAGGAGGTGACACAACAACCAGGATATGGAGAAGGGAAACCCCGGAGTGGTAACTAAGACTAGTCATACTCGGGTTTCGTCCCTAGATGGCGTTGCTCGTGGTGCTGGGTAGGTAGATCATAACAATAGATGGCGTGGTTCGTAACAACATAAAATTGAAGGATACTGCAGCGTGCCTATTGGCCCATAATAGGCAGCTTTGTTTACCCAACCCTTATCACTCATATACCTGTCCAACCTATATTTGAAGCTTTCCAGAGTGTTCGAGGTCATGATAGTGCTTGGTAATTTGTTCCTTTCATCTATAACTCATTGCCACAGAGGCAGATCTAGAACCTCAAAGTGACCGACTTCCGGGCTGGGATTTTTGAGTGTATGGCTGAGGGGGGAGGGGGGGTTAAGTGTTAATTATTTCTCTATTAACTTTCCATTTACTTTCTTTAGTTTGTTACAAATACAGATTTCAATGTTAGTGTGTGATATAAAAAAAATAATTAATTTTAATTGATGAATGGGATGCTTCATTATGTGTAATAATTGTGTATCTATCGATTTCTCTATTTATTTATATCATGCCTGTAGGAAAAGTAAAACACCCATAACTGTATCACACACTAATAATGTTTATTATGAAGAAACCTGACCACATACACTAGATCATTCTGTATGGTCTTCGTCAGCCAAACCAGTAGGCTATTTACTTGTTTCACGCCGATTTTTTTATATTTTGTTTAACTTACAACCATTGCTACGTGTTCACTCCTGGTTTCATAGTTTAAGAACCTTTGTGACATCGCTTTTATTTAATCCCATCTTCCATTTATAAACTTCAATCGGATTGCTCCTCACTCTACGTCTCACAAGAGAATGCAAATTCAGTTTTCTCAGTCTATCTCTACAGTATACTCAAGGTTCCAAATACGTGGGATTAACTTTGTCATCCTCTTAATTATTTATTATTATTATTATTATTTATTTAATTTATTACACCACAAGGGCCAACAAGCCGTCACAAGACCACGTGGTCTTGATGTGAGTCATCTTCTTCAGAATGCTTTCTTGCTTCTAGGAAATCGGTATTCAATCTACATTACGGTGACCAATGCTGAAGTGCATAACACAATACACACGAGATAGTTTAAGGATAACCTCGCTTGTCCTGTTAATAATGCTCCTTGATATTATGAACTCTTATTACCTTATTCGCCTCATTTCGAACATAACCGCAGTCTTGATTTGTTTTTTTGGTTCCTGCTTATCATTACTACTGAATCTTTCTCACATCGAAATTTCATGTCTAAGTTGTAGAAGTAATAGCTGGCTCCCGTTTCCATTTCCTAACCTTTTTCACATATACGAGTAAATTGAAACTTAAATATTTTATTGACAATAAAAACTATTAACGTACATCAAAAGGACAGGATAGTATACTGCTCCCACCCTCACCTTTGCCATCCCTTTCTGGGGCTTGCAAAAGATTATAAATGTTATAACAATACACGGATTATTTTTACACCCATGAAATAGTTCATTTTGACATGAGCACTGTACTACATTAAAATAACAGATATTATAATCTTATCCAACAAACTTGTTTCTTTAAAGAAGTGATCTAACTGTTCCTGTGTGGTTGGATGTTTTCACATCCTAATGTTGTAGTGTTATGTGCATCCCTAAGATGACACAGTTGACCCGCCCCTCCAGTAATATTTGTATCCCAATCTTAGTATCATTATAACAGTATCAACAGATGGTAAGTTAGTCCCGTAAGTTACACTAGTGTTTTGTAAAACAAAAATAATGCTGAAAACTCTCACTACATATCCCTTCTTGCTTTTCCCATTCCTCTCTTTTTCTTTTCATTTCCCTATTTATCGTTTTAATACTTACATTGCTAACAATTTCTATATACTGTACATCTTACATAGACTGGTAAACGGAGTTGGTGGGGGTGGGGGAGTGGGTAGTGCTGGTGGTCGGCCGAACGGGTGGGGCGGGTGGGTATACAGATGGGTGGTCAGGCGGATGGGTGTTGGTAAAGGGGTGTTGAAAAAGCATATACTGTAGTTCAAATTTATAACATCAAGTGTAAAGAGACACATAATGTCAGGTTGGCCGAGTGGTCTAAGGCGCCAGACTTAAGTTCTGGTACTCGTAAGAGTGCGTGGGTTCGAACCCCACACCTGACACTTGACATTTTTGAAGGTAAGAGGGAGATGATGAACACCACGACTCTTGGTGCTGACCAACTGGGAGACATTGTGTGTGTGTGTTTGTGGACGGTTCCGAGTGTACGGTTTGCGGACGGTTTTCCGCAGGTTGGTGGGGGTTCTGACGGTTGTGTGTGTTTCTTCACACAGTCAAGAACACAGCGTTGGAGTGTGTGGCCATATGTATCTGACAACACAATTTACTTTTAGTTTTGTTCACATCTGTTCGAAGGATATTATACTGCCAAAGGTACTTATATCCTAATCTTAGTCTAGCGATTACAACATCTTGTAATCTAGTGATCTTGTTGCTTGATACATGGAATGTCAGGACCCTTTTGGATACTGGCACAAATGAGCGTCCTGAAAGAAGAACTGCCCATGTGACAAAAGAGCTGGCTAGATATAACATCGACATAACAGCCATTAATGATTCCCGGCTTCCAGACGAGGGTCGACTCACAGAACGGAGTCTGGCTTTACCTTTTTCTGGAAGGGTAAGCCTGCTGCGGAGAGAAACTGCATTTATGGAGTTGGCTTTGCCATCCGCCAATGCATAGTACATCGGCTAACTAAAATGCCTGTTGGGATCAACGAGCGCCTCATGACGCTCAGAGTCCCACTGAATCACTCATGTCATGCCTTCTTTACAGGTGTATACGCCCCAACACTATGCAGAGGATGACATCAAGGAGGCCTTTTACGCCAACCTTGACAGTGCTAACCTTTATCCACAGAGAAGATAAGGTTGTACTTCTAGGGGACTTCAATGCCAGAGTTGGTAGAGATGTTGACATGTGGCAGGGAACCATAGGGAGAAATGGACTAGGCAATTGTAATCCCACCGACCTCCTACTCCTCAGCTAGTGTGCACTTCTTGCATTTGGCCCTTAGTTCGATACCGCACCCAAGCTCCTAGGCACTCTTGGTACTCGGATATTAATCCCGCTGTATTAAATACATCTAGCCTCACACATTTCGCTCGTAGGCAGTCATCAGATTCTCTGATGATTGTGAAGTAAAACAATCTGACTTCAGTGTGGAACGGAAACTTTGTTCGTTTCCCTGAACAGGAGCATGATTTTCGCCTCTATTGCAAACTAGCACACACTTACTTGACAAGTTTACTAAAAGTAAATAGTTGAAGCTTTCAACATCACTCACAAAGGATCTTGAATGTAACACATACTCAGCCATTCATAATTTCAAATCTCCGAGCATAACATTACATTCCAAGATTCTTAAGTACACGAGAAAAAACGGAGGTATCTCTCTCTCTCTCTCTCTCTCTCTCCATTATCTTAATCTGTTCATGAAAGGAAACAAGGGGGAGTAGTTTATAAGGTTATATTCTCAAAATATATAATGCACAATTACCTGTAATTATTTTAAAATACAACGAATATAACCATCTACATTACGTCACTGTGTGTGGCCACTAGACACAGCATCTGCGACCACTACACAGCACCTGTGGCCACTAGGCACAGCCGCTGCGGCCACTAGACACAGCAGGTGGAGCCACTAGACACAGCAGGTGGAGCCACTAGACACAGCAGGTGGAGCCACTAGACACAGCAGGTGGAGCCACTAGACACAGCAGGTGGAGCCACTAGACACAGCAGGTGGAGCCACTAGACACAGCAGGTGGAGCCACTAGACACAGCAGGTGGAGCCACTAGACACTTCAGCTGCGGCCTCTAGGTACAGCAGCTGAGGCCACCAAGTATTACTTCTTGGTCTCCCTGGAGTAGTTAGAAATATGAGAGTTCTTCTTCATCGCGTCGTCCCAGTTCTTGCCGTCAAACTTCTCGTACTTGACCTTCTTCACGGTGCCGTCATCCAGACAATGGGGTGCTACACCTGTAACAGGGAGATGGTGACGTCAATGCCTTTTTTTAACCACAGCAGCGCGCCAAGCTCTCGTCTAAATTGCACTGAAACTTCTTAACGAGTTCAAGTTGATGGTGTTTGGTTTATTGTTCCACTAATTTATATCCAAACCAATGTTTACCCAATTCCGGCCTAAATCTAAATTTCACGAATTCAAAACCATTGCTCACTCCTGATTTAATTGCTTAAGTACGTGTTTAAAAGTGAACCCATAAAAAGTTCACTTGTAGTCCTGATCATTCAGCCAGGGGCAGCACCTTAATTATTTACCCTGAAGGTACGTACCGTAGCCGTCTGGGTTAGACCTGGGTATGTAGAAGGGCTGGACACCGCAGGTGGAGCAGAAGTTGTGTTTGGCTGTGTGAGTGTTGAAGGAGTAGGTGGTGAGAGCATCGTGACCTTTCAACAACTTGAACTGGCTGAAGGGAACGATGAAGTGCTTGTTTTGTTTCTTGACGCACAAGCTGCAACTGTGGAAGGTCAACATATATCAGTAAGCGGTCAAACCACGTGTGGAGTAGAATTGAGAAAATACGAGTATACCTGCCCGCAAAAAACAGGTACAGTACAGTAAAATCATAAAATAATTTTACCCTCTCGTTCTATGGATTTCAAAATGAAAACTTCCTCTTCTGTCGTCGCGAATGGGTAAGTGCGACGCCATTTCCTTTATCCATGTGTTTCGAAATATTTAAATCATATTTGGAATCATAGGAGTACACAGAAAAAGAAATCGCATTTTGACAAGTGGCAGGAATAGTGTCACACTGGCAACTTCATATCCAAGATCTTTGTATGGAATATTTCACAGATTTACGATAGTGTTCGACACCGAAGGAGCAATAGTAATTTAGGTCTGACAGTACAGTACAGTGCGTGATTGGGCATGTTCAGAATTCCTAACAACAGTTATTTGATGATTACATGTTAGTAGCGTGCATGTCCTGTAATTATGGAGGATTATAATCGAGTATGATAAGAGAGAGACATACGTGCAGTCGATGACGATCAGTGTAGAGGGTGCCATAACCTCGAACCTGATGGCACCACAGTGGCACCCACCTAAGTGTCGGACCAGGTCAGTCGCCATTATCACGGCAGGTCAACTTGTAGGACCAGATGGAGATAATTAATGACCTCCAGAAACCTGTGTGCGAGAGAGGCCAGATGAGGGTAATTACGGACTTTCAGAGGACTTGCTTGTGAGAGAGAGGCCAGGTAGAAGTAATAACTGATCTCAAATGACCTGTGAGTTAGAGATCAGCTGGAGGTAACGTATTGACCCCCAAACGATCTACATGACATATAAAGAGGGCCAGATAGAGATAATTGCTGACCTCGTAAATGTGTGAGAGGCCAGAGACAGAAATAATGACTGACCTCTACACGACCTGTGTAAGAGAAGCCATATGGAGGTAATTATTAACCTCTACAAGAGCAGTACAAGGAAGAGGCCAGGTGTAGGTAATTACGAACGTCTGCAGGACATTGTGTGAAAAAGAAATCAGCCAGGGGTAATCACTGACCACTAGGTAACGAGAGAGAGAGAGAGAGAGAGAGAGAGAGAGAGAGAGAGCAGACCTCGGGAACACCTATAATAACTAAGTGTACCTAATCAGCTGCTCCAAAACACATTTTCTCTCTACACCAGGTGACCCTCTACAACACCTGCACACACACCTGCATTAATTAATTTTTTGGATCACCTGAAGATTCGACTCCCCAGTTTATTTCACCTGATTATTACCTGGGGAAGTTAGATGTTACAGGTTAGTTTACGTTATATTTAGTTAAGTTTAGGTCAAGTTAGCTATCCTTACTTACCCTCACTAACCTAACGTTAAAACAGATTAAGTAAGGTTAACTCAACCTTTGTTCAATTTAGAAGAAATTAAGTTTATGCTAAATTAGGTTAAGCAAGATTAAATTAACGTTAAGTTACGTTAATCCAATTATATTGGCAATCATGTAACACAAATACATGAACAACACAAGATTCATGACTATTTAGCGGTTGAATTGTCATATATAGATACTAATTAGTGACTCGGTGTTAATTACCGAGTCTGTTAATAAGCGTGCCTCAGTGTTGATTACGGTCATGTTAAAATGTTAATCACTGTCAGTTAATGCGTGTGTCTCAGTATCAATTACTCATACAGCATCAATTGGTGTTTAATTAGTGTCAATTAACATGTCTCCATATTAATTAGGGTGGCTGTCAATTATTGGGTCTCCGTATACTCTCCAGCGCGTCTCCGTATCATTCAGTGTAGAGTGGTGTAGTAACAAGAGAACAAATGCCAGTATTTTCGTTCACACTAACTGTAGGAGCATCGAGACTACCATTATCCATGAACAACTACGTTGGACTGGCCATGTTACCCACATGGACAACAGTTGATTGCCAAAGCAGCTACTCTACAGTCACCTAACGAATAGTAAACGTAACGCCGGCGGGCAACTGAAAAGGCAATTATGAAAAAGTGCCAAATTGACCCCCTCACCTGGGAGACGATTACTCCACACCGTAACGCTTGGAGGAGCACCACACGAGAAGGTGTCAATACTTTCGAGTTAGCCCGACTGCAAACAAAGGCAGACAAGCGCCAACACCGGAGAGATGCTGCCCCCCACACTAGATGTAACCCTCCACATGTGCAACATCTGTAGACGAACCTGCTAGTCCCGTATTGGCCTCTTTAGTCACCACACAGCTCACCAACGAAGGTGACATCCTTAATAACTCATATTATTGCATCATACCTGGATGATCGTCATACTCGATTCTGAGTGACAGCAAAGTAGTGGTAAAGTAGGTTAGTAATGTAGAAGTAGAGTAGTATAGTCGTGTAATAGTGTAGTGGTGTAGTAGTATAGTCGTGTAATAGTGTAGTCGTGTAATGGTGTAGTGGTGTAATAGTGTAGTGGTGTAGTAGTATAGTAGTGTAGTGGTGTAGTGGTGTAATAGTGTAGTGGTTGTAATGGTGTGGTGGTGTAGTGGTGTGGTGGTGGTGTAATAGTGTAGTGGTGTGGTGGTGGTGTTATAGTGTTGTGGTGTAATAGTATAAGCATCGCACACACAACACTGGGTGTCTTTAAGTGTTAATAATGTTTAATTGGTTACACACACACACACTCACACACACACACTCACACACACACAAGTGGTCGCCGAGCATAATCACAAGGACAAATCTCGCCTTGTCACATGCGATGGTCGAGAAATTGCGCTTATTATTTTGTTTCTTGCCTGAGAGGTTAGGTTAGGTTGGGTTTCTTGAGAATCATTTAATTCTTAACAATCGCGAGAGACAATGAGATGGAATTTGACTGTACGGAAAACCTCGGTCTAAGATCACTTGTAATACGTCCAATTAAAAAACAAAACCTTAAAATATTAATATATATCCTTAATTAATATAAAATATATAATAAAAAAATGTTCTTGAAAACGGCAGAACTCACTCACAGAAGTAAATGAAGGAGACGTACACACAGCTTAACGAAGGTATGACTCACTGAGACTGAGGGGTGGTGTTCTGCTGAGGCCTGGTCGACTGAGGGGTGGTGTTCTGCTGAGGCCTGGGAGCAGAGTGCTGGTCGACAGCCGGCACACACTGCTGCAGCGTGACGTCACACAGTGGCCATGGTGATGGTTGTTACCACACACCGCCACAACATCTCAACTCTCACCACAACAACACATGACCTTCAAGTACAGTTAACACACGATTTGTTATTAAACTGGCCAACTCAACTGGTTGTTATTGAGGGACAGAAACCTAAGATCGTTATTTAACTGGTGATATCCTCTTGTTGATCAAGAAATATGGTTACCCAACTGGTCAGACAAGGTCATCACATAACAACACCTCTTGTTATTCTGCCAGTGATTTGCGCCGTTTAATCTTTAGGGGATTGAGATAACGTTGTTAAAGTTTTATTGATCTCATCACAGTAGAGCATTAACTAGAAACTACAATGAAAAGCAGGATAATGAACAATGAATAACCCACCAAACAGTAATTAAATACAATAACACCGCTACAAAAAAAACCGAAAAACAACAAACACATAAAATAATAATAAAAAAATAACATGACGCACAAGTTGTGTTGCCAGTTGAACTAAGGTTTATCACGGTCCACCTCAAACACCACTAGTCTGTTGCCCAACTACAGATCCTTACCTCACGTTGAAGTTTCCCCAGGTTTAGTTGTTGACGCCATACCGTCCGTTGTTGTGTGTCTAGTTGTAAGTGTGAGGCAGTTAATATGCTTAGAATACGTTCTCACATAAGATTAGACTTTGAGCAAAAATTATCAATTGAATCTGTGAGAGAATCTATGATTGTGCTATAACTTAAGTTAAATAAGTACTTGTACCACAAGCAAGATAGAAAAAATGAGGTAATTAAGTCTTTTGTCGTATTTTAATTTAGTAAATTATATTATGCTCTCACATATCCAGTTAGGAAGGAAAATTAACGTAGAAACCTTCGAGAATAGATCGTTGTGTCAGGTTAAGTCAAACACATTCTCACTTCACCAGTAAAGGAAAGAGTTACCACTGGACCCTTTGAGAATTCGGAAACGAATAAATTAGCATAGGTGTGCCTAGCATATCTATGTTCCTGCCTGGGAGAGAGAGAGAGAGAATTATACTGTCATCATGTGGCACAGCGTCGCAGTGAGGATTCGACTTAAGTCTCATCCGTTGCAGCCGTATATGGATTATTGATTCATGCATGATACGTATCTGGACGGGGATAAATCGCCTTTCCCTCACTGTACATACACGAGATACTGTACATGTATAATTTCATAAACAGATAAGATTAGGTTAGGTTAGGGTAGCTTAGGGTATTTAATCATCCGGTGAAATAAGCTGGGACACCTAATCATCATGTGATCCGTTTATAGTTTATACTGTACCGCGATTATATGGTGCACTGATAATACGGTACAGCGATAATACAATAAAACGGACAAGGGTACAGCGGAAATACGGTAGGGGGACGTCTACCCGTTTTACTGGACTCAACATGCCTTCACTGCTAGTACTACCCGGTATAATCCCGTCGCTGGGAAGATGTTCACATCCCGGTAACCAAGGGGAAAACTGGTAGTTTTTGTGGGAACGAGCCATTGTATACACGCACATAAACATATAACAGGATTCTCAGCGTACAAACATAAAGACATCCGTATACAGCATCAGTTATATAAGGTGTTTTGGAGGGCAGGCAGTGTGTCCTCTCTCTCTCTCTCTCTCTCTCTCTCTCTCTCTCTCTCTCTCTCTCTCTCATTTCGGAAAGCATAAATATATTTTTTTTACTACCTTTAATGTGATGAAACAAAACAAATTATAGTGAATTGTTTTAATTTTGTAATTTTGCCACATACAACGGCTAGTTTGTTGTGCTTGTGTCTGTGACGTCATAACACAGGTGTGGGGGGTCAGAGGTCAACCACCAGGATGGTCTTAACACAAAAAAACTGGCGGTGTTGCTAAATTAATCTCCCTCGTTCCTGGTGTAGTGTGTGTGTGCCGCTACAAGGGAAGGAGGGAGGGAGGGTAAAGGGAGGGAGGGAGAATAAAGGGAGGGAAGGAGGGAGGGAGGATAAAGGGAGGGAAGGAGAATAAAGGGAGGGAAGGAGGGAGGGAGGATAAAGGGAGGGAAGGAGATAGAGAGGAAAGATAAAGGGAGGGAAGAAGGGAGGGAGGATAAAGGGAGGGAGGATGAAGGGAGGATAAAGGGAGGGAAGGAGATAGAGAGGAAGGATAAAGGGAGGGAAGGAGATAGAGAGGAAGGATAAAGGGAGGGAAGGAGGGAGGGAGGATAAAGGGAGGGAAGGAGGGAGGGAAGGAGGGAGGGAGGGAAGGAGGAAGGGAAGGAGGGAGGGAAGAAGGATAATGGTAGGGAAGGAGGGAGGGAAGAAGGATAATGGTAGAGAAGGAGGGAGAGAGGAGGGATGATAAAGGAAGGGAAGGTTAACTGCTACACCATTATACAGATCCAATAAAACAAAACAAAATAATATGATCAGGTTGACGAAGGAGAGCTACTTGTCACCCCTTCAAATTCTAATGTTATAAGTTCGTTTTACCGCCACACCTTCCCTCCTGTAGTGTTGGTGTCCTTCTTGACTCAAATTTTTCTCTTCTATGGTTGCTGACACAACGACCTCCGTCGACATAGATGGGTGTTAATACTACAGCCCTAATGATCTGGACGAACGCGCTCGGTGGGGAAGGGTTGGGAGTTTGCGACTACCATTTGAAGGAACAACTTCTACTTGCAGATTCTCCAAGGAAGGAGAAAAAAGAGTTGCTTGCTACTACGGGCGTAAAATCTTTAGAACGGTATAGCATGGTACAACCCACTCCATGGTACTAATATTAGAATTGTTAAAACAATGTACAGTCTCTTCTCGACTTACGACATGTTCGACTTACGACAACCCGGACATACGACACCCATGTTCGTATATAATATTTTTCACATTACATATTTTTGAGACCCGACGTTAGTGATCGCACGTGCTGTGTACGGACAAAATTTTCGTTTGTCATTCTCTTTAAAATGGCTGGCAAGCGTAAAAGTGTGAGTTCTCGTGGTGCTGAGAAGAAAAAGAGATACCTATTTTAGAATTTCTATGTATTATTTTCGCCTTTTCGACTTACGACCAATTCAACTTACGATCCAGTCGTCGAGACGGAACCCCGTCGTAAATCGAAGAGAGACTGTACTGTATCTAGGTATTTTACCTCAGAGACTGATATTTCTTAATACCTCATATGGTGTTTAGAGATTTGAAATTGAGAGTGAATGAATTTATTGTACACTAAATCAGTTATACCTATAGTGAGAGAAAGCATTCAAGGTGTATTGAGTATACAGTATAATGTTAAGATGTTGTGTTTTGAGTACCCATCTGCCAGCAGTAAATCAGTATGTTTCCTGTGAACTTATGAGATAGCAATTCAAACTGAAGTCATATCTTTTTGACCTATGAACATCAGAGAATCCGATAGAAATTGTTGTCGGTCTTGTATTATAGAAAGTACATAGTTTTCCAAAATGTAAACAGACTCTGACTTATCCCTGGAATATAATGGAAAAATCTCGGTATCTGCTCGCAGTTATTTAAAAGTAGTCGGATAAAGAAAAAATAAAGTAAATTAGTATGGAAGAAATCCCCAATACCATTATCACCTCTACACCCCTTCGACCTCTCTCCCTCCCAAGTACGCTCATCTGCCTCTACTGCCGTGTACTTCCCCAAGTGTTGACGTAATCGTCCACACCTACATGAATCCACCCAACTACGGTATATACTCAAACTTAACTGCTTTGAGCAGATTAATGATGTCGCCTCCTCTCTCACGACCTCCCACCCTCCTCTCCTTGGGTCTGTTACGCTGGGCGGCGCTGGGACAGCCGTGTGAATCCCATCCAGTACCAAAATGGGAAGGAGCTTGCAAGAGTAAAAAATAATAATAATTTGTTTTACGAGGTTATATAGAGAGCAAGGTATTTGCATATGCTTTATTGAGACTTACACTGAACACTGTGCGGCAAGTTTGGCAACGTTGTGTGTGGTACAGAAAGGCTTGGAGTCTCACAGCTCGGAGGCAGGGACAGAACCTTATCTTGTCAAAAGTCATCCCAAAATTTTCACAACATTTCAAGTTCATGTGGGGTGTCTATACACATTAAATCACTCAACATTACTTGTATGGCTGGTACTCATATCCAGAGATTATGTGGAGAACAAACTGAAACTATCATCAGTTGACAGAAGTTCATTATATTAGAATAACAATATCATCAATAATCCTTCTGTAAATGACTCTGAGGGACTTGTATTAACATATTAACCAAGAGGAAAGTATAATAAAAAAAGTAAAGCTCTTGGCTAAATTCATACTAGATAAAATAAGGAGGACAAGAGAAAGCTAGAGTTGTGTAGCAATGTTTATGTTAAGGTGAAAGTCTTTAATTTGTTCAGGGTTGTCAAGATGATGATCCACAACAGATGAGTTATGGCTGTTTAGTATATCAAGGCCATGGGTACAAGGGTGCCACCTAGCTCCTTAATGGGTCCAAGGTGCCACCTAGGTCCCTGTGCAGGTACAGGGTGCCACCTACTGTAGGTCCCTGTGCAGGTCCAGGGTGCCACCTAGGTCCCTGTGCAGGTACAGGGTGCCACCTACTGTAGGTCCCTGTGCAGGTCCAGGGTGCTTCCTAGGTCCCTGGCAGGTCCGCTAACTTTTAGTTACTGTTTCATGACATGATTGGGTGTAAAACAACCAATCCATACAGTGGTTTAACTGAACATTTCAACCAACAGTTGTCTGACTATCAACCCTAATGTTACCATAATACCTCACATTATTGAAGATTTAGTTTAGCACACACACTACGATTTTTTCTCAACATAAATGCACATTGAAGTACCCTGGTTTTATTATTGAATGTAAAAAAAAAATGGTTTTGTTTCCTACAGCAAAACGGATAATTCTTAACTGGATATTTTTAAGCCATTTAGTTTTGTTTCGTACTATTGAACTGGATACAATAATGATCAAATATGCTTGGTAAGAAGAGCTAATAACATTATTTGTCTACATTTTATCACTTTATTAAATCATAAATAAGCAGTACAATTCTGCACTTATAGTCACTATTGAACTTTTAAAAATTTATTTCTATTCATGTATAATATCATTTAGACTACTTTTATGAATACTCTGACCAAGCACAATAAAAATAATTTGTATTTCAAGAGTACCTGTATATATAAATGATCTATGACAACTTCTGATTTATTTAAATTACAAGAGGAATTAAATACCCTGTATATGCCACCAAGGGCATGATATGTGCAAGAGAATAGGCACACCATCTGGTGCTCTAGAACGGAGGACTTTAGCAACCTCAGTCGAGGAACTGGTACAGTATATGAAACACATTGGCAGATAGCAACTACTACAACCAGTGCAACACAAACAGCAGCATGGCAGTAGAAAACGAAAGAAAATGTGAAAATTCTCTCAAAGAAAATGAAACAGGTGTCATCAAGTCCCTATGTAATACATAGGGAGTATACTGTAATGTCAAAAATATGTCATGAACATAACATTGTTCAAACTTTCCATTTAAATAAATTGTGTCCGCTCAGCTTGTACAGTACAGTACTGTGCTTACAACATTAATATCTTTTCCACAGATAAAATTCAGCATTAGTCTTAAATTTTGGCAAACATTTGTGATCAACAAGAACTACGATGAAATCACAGCATGTGCACACAAGTTAATGGGATCCAGTATTATGCCTTCGTAAAACATAAAGGCTTTTAACTTCTCATGAGATCTGACCCGCCCCGTGTATTTGAGAATGGAACATGGTCGATGAATGCTCACAAAGACATCTTTAAAGCACTGAACGGAAAAAATATCCCTATTAACTCACTCCATGTTCACCAGTGATATGAGTCTTTCACGTTGTGTAACAGACCTAGACAAATCATCAGTCAGCTGCTAATAACACCATTACATACAGGTATTTCACATGACTAAAAAAATTTTACCCCTGCCTTCTATATGAATGAGCAAATATATTCATCATTAGGGTATGCTGCAAGCAGATGGAGATATTAACATGATAATATATAACTGAATATGCTTTATTTCTGTGCCTTCTGACTCACTGGCGCCTCAATATTACAGATAAAAGTTTTGGAAGAAATATAGCAGTTAACTGTCCTTTCAAACAAAAACTCTTGTCCAGAATATAACACTTCAGAAGACCCCGTCAGTAATGAAGACTCGTATACTTATGTCTGTTAGAATGTGGTAACTGCAAGAGAGTGAAGAACAGAATGTCAAGCATCTATAGAGCACATTCGAGCAAAAATATCGACTAGTAACTCCATGATAATAATATGCATCGTGCCATGACTTGCCTAGACTGTTGTGCAGTTAACATAAGACTTGCAGCTAACAAACATTTCTAGTTTTCCTTCAACAATATGGTAATTTTCTTCATTTTTGTCTTTGCAAAAATTAAAAAAATCAAACAAAAATATCTTGAATAAAGTGCAGGAACAACCAACATATTACAGTAACATAAACAGTATTTTCTACAAGTAGATGAAGACAAAAGATTGTAGCTTTTATATTATAATCCTTCATAATGGTCACAAGTTCCTATGTAAATATATCTAGGTACTATATATGGCAAAACTCTATTTTCAATATAACTCTACATACTAGTAACTAAGAACAATATAGGAACACCAAACATGGAGCATTTGTAGCTTTTATAACAAAATACAGTAATATTATATAATATTATACTGCCTTTAAGCAAACACGCAGATGCTGAAACTGTGGTAGCAAGGAATATCCTGGTGAGTGTATGTACAGTCACAAGCTCTTGGTGGAGTGGCTAATTTTATTTAACAAACTTAAAAGCAAAGTACTCGCATAACATCATCACTGCTTCAGGAAACATAAAATATATTCATTAGATTCTCAAGTGACATAACTCTGTCTGTGAACAGTTAATTTGATAGCTTATCACACATGTAGCACTGTATCATCACACACATAGCACTGTATCATCACACATGTAGCACTGTATCATCACACATGTAGCACTGTATCATCACACATGTAGCACTGTATCATCATCATCATCATCATCACATAAACTCTCCAGAGAGTTAATGTTTAATGTAAACAAACAAGAACAGTAAATCAACGAATAACAAAAACACTTGGCTGCTTCATGTGGCACTAACACTTGGCGCCAGGTGGCACTATCACTACCAGACTGTAAAAGCTGTCAGCATCGCATTAGTGGCTCATCACTTACACAAGTAGACATCACTTTGTACTTTTTCCAAAAAAAATAAAGAGTTAGGGAATATTTGCAGAATTATAAAGTTCACCTTATATATTATATCTGTCCAACTAGGCAGCAAAAAAAGAAAAAAAGAAAAAAAAAAGAAATGGCACTATTTTTTGTAGTTTTTTGGACACATACGAGAGTCAAGGCATCATTGAAAAAAAAAATGTATGAATAAAGAGTGGCCCCTTCTACATATATCAACATTACCCCTCAAATTTTTTCTTCAGTTTTCTGCAAAAGTTATCAACATAATTACTGTACTATATCACTTTCTTCAGCACAGTTTCCTCCATGGCACACTGGGGCTGCTGCAATAATTTCTACCCTACTCAATGAAGGTCTCTGACCTGACTAGTTCAGAAATATTACAACAGAATAATGTAACTTAAGGAAGCATTCACTATGTACTAGTTAATGGGTCTTGACTCGAGAGAAGTGCGGCAACTTACCATTTTGACTTTCATTGTATTACACGGTCATCTTCCCTTCAACTCAGAGGAACTAATCTTCAATCAGAATACATGATGCAATATTCTGTTAATGAGCAATTGAAAACTGAAAACCAACAACCAATGAATTAAAAGCCATAATAACATCAACATTCTCAAGATAAAGCGCTATAAGTGAACAGAAACGTAAACAGACTTATTTCTATGCACATATAACATATATATAACGTATGTACTGTACACGTAGCTTTACCATCACTCACACATGGCAAGTTTATTCACTGGTAAGTTGTACTGGAATATGGGTGTGCTTCAGAGAATTCACAAGTAAGTGCTATGCGGAAGCAGTTTCACCGACTGTCCCTACATTTTCATTGACGTCTCTTCCTCCCTGACGCAGCTCCTCATCCTGAAACACGTACGGACCATTATGTTTCATCATGACTGAGTTTGTCGTCTCACTCTTATTATCGATCACAGTTTCTTGTGAATCTTGAAACTCAAAGACATCTGGTTCAATATTCTGTGATATACGTATCAACTTGTCTGTTTTTGGGGTATTGGAATACCCCTGATTCTCATCACTTGCTGTATTTGCTTTGTCAACTTGTAGCATTTTTGAATCATCTTTGTAATCAACAGAATCCTTTGTCATTTTCACTAGTGAGTCCTGGTGAACCACATCTGCAGAATCTCCATCATCTTCAGCCAAATGTTCCTCGCTAGGAGTCTCACCCTCCAGCTCAGTCAACAAGTACTGCTCATCATAATCTAGAAAGAGCATATGATATACTGTATTAAAAACAAATGTGACAAAAGTCTCATCCTCCAACATTGCAAACATGAAACTGCTCTGTGTAAGAGTAACAGGAAAGGTTTTTCTTGGTTTAAGTCTGCAACTTGACCAAGGGACCAATTCAATATCTGTACCTCACCACCATACACTCGGTTGTATTTGGGGGAAAAAGAAATAAGTGAAAGGTTCACGGTTGTGATACAATGGTGGTAAACTGCATCCAAAGCTCACCCTCTCTCATGCCTTGTCTCAACACTTGGTTTCATATGTTACTGATAAGTCTGTCACTACAATAATATGTTCATAAATTAATAATTTATATCTTCACTCTTATAAGTCTTCTGCTGCTATGAACCAGAGCAGTCAGATGAATGCTAACCCTCTAGCTAATGTACTGTCCTGCTAGTAGGCTACCTCACCCCCTGGCAGTATGGTGGTCCACTACCTCGCCCCCTGACAGTATGGTGGCCCACTACCTCACCCCTGACAGTATGGTGGTCCACTACCTCACCTCCTGGCAGTATGGTGGTCCACTACCTCACCCCTCCTGACAAACAAAGTCTCTCTCTCTCTCTCTCTCTTGGTATTGTTTATTCAATCTTACAGTTGAAACATCCTCAAGAATCATTTGATGGCAATGTTCTGTTGTCTTATTAATACAATATTCTCTTTGTAAGTACGAGGAATGACTCAGATTTATGCAATATGAGCCTCAATGAACACTTTATACATTAATCTGTTTCCAGAATTAGGATTAAAACTAAGCTAGTAATAAATAACTTTACAATCCTCACCAGAATTATCATCAGGATCTAAGTTGAAACGAGGGGTCCTACGTCGACGCCCTCGACGAAGAACCTTTTTTGTTCTCTTTGTACTAACACCTCCTATTTTACCATTTTTTCCACGGCCACGACCTCGACCGCGATAACGTCCTCTTCCACGTAAGCGGGGACGGGGAGAGGGGGTAGAGGGTGGTGACGGAACATCAGATGCATCGGACATTGCCTCCTCATCCTCATCGTCATCCACTTCATCATCCAAATCTTCTTCACCTTCTATATCATTAGTATCATCAGCATTTTGTGTGTCTGCTATGTCAGGACTCAGCGGTGGTGGTGGTGTTGGGGGTGTAGGGGATGGTGCTGGGGGTGTGGGGGATGGTGGTGGTGGTGTGGGGGATGCTGTGGGAGTGGGAACATGTGTAAGAACAGGATCAAGTGTGGGAATGAGTGTGTGTTCAGGTTCAAGTTCAGGTTGAGGTTCATGTTTGGGTTCAGGTTGAGGTTCATGTTTGGGTTCAGGGTCAGGTTGAGGTTTGGGTTCAGGTTCTGGTTCAGGGGTGTGTGGGGGTGCTGGGGTGGCAGTGGATGTAGGAATGGCACTTGTGGCTGTTGTGATGGCAGTACACGTGCTGGCAGTAGTAGTAGAAACAACGTCAGTGGCAGGAGGCAAGACACTGCCTGTTTCAGGGGTAACATCAACAGTAAGGAGTGGTGCCATGTCAACTTTGAATATCTGTGCTTCTATTTTTACTGGTTCTACTTCTTCAATAGAATTTTCAACCTGTGGATAAATTTTTTTTATATAAGATATACAGTATATTAGCAAGAGAAAAAGGTACTATACATTTACAATGAAAATCATAGGTTTCATTTAAAAAATAAATATAGTATATCATGAGTATTTTCCTGTCTGCTCTCCAGAAACTGAGACAAATATGTACCAGAATATTAAAGTACAGTAAACCCTCGATAACTCGGCATTTGATAACTTGGAATTTCATTTAACTTGGCATGGATATGGTCTCGGAATGTACTAGTATAACTCAGGATATGCCGAGATACATAATATTATCTGGGAAAATCTCGGCATATCTGGCCCCCTGCACCACCTACCATACCTCTGTGTCACCTACCATGCCTGTGTCACCTACCATGCCTGTGTCACCTACCATACCTCTGTCACCTACCATACCTCTGTGGCACCTACCACGCCTCTGTGGCACCTACCACGCCTGTGTCACCTACCATGCCTGTGTCACCTACCATGCCTGTGTCACCTACCATGCCTCTGTGGCACCTACCATGCCTGTCACCTGTGTCATACCTCTGTCTGTGGCACCATACCTACCATGCCTGTGTCACCTACCATGCCTGTGGCACCTACCATGCCTCTGTGTCACCTACCATGCCTCTGTGTCACCTACCATGCCTCTGTGTCTTCTACTATGATGCTTCACTCTTCGCCTCCAGTGCTGGTAGTGTTACTTTTTTACATTTAGTAATTACATGTACACATATATGGGTCGATAATTTTTTAGTGTTGTATTTTTATAGGAGGGGGGGGAGTGTGCCTCGATAAGTTGTAATTTGGGTTAACTCGTCAAGGCCAGAGCCCCATGTGTGCCGAGTTATCGAGGATTTACTGTATTGTGAATTTATACTACAGTACATCTCAAATATGTCTGTAAATCTCTTAAGCTTACGTGTGCTGCTCGACATAGATGTATAGTGGCGTTACTATCTTCTCCCTCAGTTATTTCATCAGTTTCATCAATATGTTCAGCTCCTTCTAGACTCTCCAACTCTTCCAGGTTTTCTCTACTATCTGCACAGCCTAAGTCAATTGTTTCCTCAGATGCACAAGAGATGGCCGCACCTAAATGGGAGAGTGTCTCATGGGAGATGTGCTGTTCATCGTACGTCAACTTGCTGCGGTTCGAGAGCTTAAGTGCTTGAAGACGAGGATGATAGACACATAACTGCTTTACACACTTCTGCAAAATAATAAAGAGTTCCTAGTGTTAGTGTACAGTACATGAGGCAGAGATACATTATAAACTAATAAAGCATACAGATTGAATACTGTACACAGAAAAGTTGCATTATAGAACAAAGAAATAAGCAGAAATGGTGAAAATTCCCAGTGTTGTTTGGTGAAGCTGTTGTTTCTCCTAATAAAATGAGACCCTATTATCTGAGCTAAAACTGAATAAATTAGTTATCAGCCTTTGAATATTCTATAGGTGCTGTATTTTGTGCATTAGTGTTGTGTTATGTAGAGCTTTCAGGCAGAGACTTTGATAAAGGTACTTGAGTGTGAGTATAATATCCATGATAAGAAGATAAAGTTGTCTAAGTTTTAAAGAAAGTAGTTAAAATGAAGTTGACACATACTTAGGATGATTTGTCTACTCTTGTCATACTTGTAAGGCTTTTCTTGAACTACACAAAGAACAAACAAGACAAAGAGCAACAAGCACTCGTCCATGCTTAAATTTGTCAAAACTGGAGACTTATGGCCTGCCCAAATTTTTCAAGGCTTGATTAATGAACTGCACGAGGACATGTATGATTGTACATAATTCTGTGCTAGATCTTTACAGTTCACAGCAGTAATTTAAGATTACTGAATGGAGATGACTTTATATGGACAGACAGACAGACAGGACCATCAAAAGCTGTGATGTGTGAAAAGAGAGAGGAACAGAGGTGGTGGTGCAGGATTCTTTTTTGGTGAAGGTGATTCTGTAACAGTTGTAGGACCAGTAGAACATAAACACAAGGCACTGAATGTCAATGATGAATGTCATGATATAACTTGATTATGGTACTGGACTGAAATGCTATGGACATGTGGAGATATATGATGAAATGTGAAGGGCTTGCACTCCTGAAGACAAAAGTTTAAATAAGGTACAGTATTTAATAGTGCTAATGACCCTTAGGGAAATGTTTCCCTTATTCTTTAAGTTTCATGTAACAGTTTTGTTCACTCTCTAAGTTCTCAAGTTTTTTCTTCTATAAAACAGAAGGTACCTGTATTAAACTAATTCTGTAAGCTAATTTCAAATTCTAAGGGAAAACATGTTTTCACCCCAAAAACACATGAAAGACTAAACCTTACTATAGTATCATGGTGATATATATTTACTTTATGTGATCATTATTGTTTTTCTTTACACTTCCCTCTTGCCCACACAGTTCCTCATGTTGTCCTTCTACCTGGTAGAGTCTATCACAACCTTGGTCTCCTCCCTTCAGTGTACCATAAGGTGCTGCATCAGCCAGCTTCTATGAATATTAGAACTTACTTGCTATTCACCTACACAACGAGGGAAATCTTTGGTCAGTCTACAATTATATACAGTAGTTTCTAAGCAGTTCTTGTTCAGTTACTCTTGTCTATCTATCCTCTCACCACATGCTTATCATCTGAACACTATTCTTTATTCTTAACCATTACAGTTTATTGTTCCCTATCTGCTTATTTGTTAATTTCTCTCTCACCACCTGCACCTCTACTCACTTGTCTATATCGCCCAGGACCGCCAAACTTGGGCATGTCCTCACAGTAGAGACAGTTACCGCACGGTGTTGTGGTCTGGCAGCCAGGGCACTCACCGCAGTAATACTTTGTTCGTACCTGTAAAATAAAAAGTTTCTGGTAAAATTATGAGGATATTTCAGTCATTATAAGTTCCTTCAGAATCTTTTTGTTGTCTCTCTTTCTGGTTTAGGAAAGAAAGGAAGAAAATAAAGAAGCAACACCTCAGGCAGGGATGGATTTGCTGGGCCATGTTTTTAAATTGTGTGTGTTGATGATGTCACAAATGTGTATGTGTTGATGGCATTAATGCATACCTGCATACAGACTATGTCATAATATATAATTGGTCTTCTTTAGTGAGGTTTTCCAAAACAATTCAAACTGTGTAAGATACAAATTAAAGTCAGTGGTTAAATGAAAATAGGGAATGTACAAGAAACGTGAAAACATAAATCTGCTATGTGCACAATTTAGTCAGATGTAAGAGTTATGTATTGTAATAATATTCATAAACTTAAAACTCTGTAAGGACGAACAAAACAAAACCATCACATTGCTGCCACCGACCTTGGAGGGGCTTACCCGGCTGTAAGGCTGGGCAAATTTTTTCTTAAGCATTTTTCTCATCAACTTCATTTTATCATTGTGTGTACTAGGCTGGCCATCTGGCGTGGGACTGGATGCTCCAGAGCTGATGCCCATACTCTCTGCCATGAGTGAGTCAGTCGAGTACGGCGATGGTTCCCCGGCAACACTGAGGGCAGCTCGCACTTCCTCCATTTGCTGTTGCTCACACACCCTCATCTCACACACCTGATGTAAGGAATACTGTACTGCATTAAAAATAAGACTTTTTGATACACATGATTTTGTAATGATACAGAAATATTTAATTGTTTTTGTTAATGACTACAAAAGTGAACTGTATTCAGAAATATAAGTACAAGAACAAGTGCAGTATACAGTACAGTGCTGTACATATAAAGTAATTTCCAAGTGGTAAGAGTTATTTGGTGATGTTAACTTAACCTGAATGTGAAGAGAAATATTTCTAACAGTAACTAAGACCTATAGCAACTTCCCTCATCTCATACTCGGTGAAGCTCCTCAGAGAATAATTAAGTAAACTGACCAAGTCTCTCAGTCATATTTCTCACAATGTAGTGTGTTAGGTATATTCTCTTTACACACTATGGTTTAGGGGACACCCTACAGTACCAACATGAGAGGACATAACTACAAGGTCGCCAAGTTACTGGGTGGTAGACCTATTGAATGGTCTACCAGCCCAAGCTGTTAAATCAAGAACAGTACTGATCTTCAAAGTAGACAATGGAGGGATCCTACACAGTCCATGGACCTCCTTCCCTCAGCATGGCCACTTGTAGTGGGTGGCCATTATGTAAATAAGGTACTGTATGTGTCTGATGGTTGATAAACATGTGTCTGATGTGTCTAATGGTTGACAAACATGTGTCTGATGTGTCTAATGGTTGACAAACATGTGTCTGATGGTTGGTGGTAATGGCCATCCACTTGAAATATTTTTGGTTTGTATTTACTGATCCTTCCTGATTTTGTCATCTCCAGGGACCACAACTTTTACCACTGCAGTATTTACTCACACTAGATCCTGTCCTTCCTTGGCCCTCCTATCCACTAAAACCTCCACCATTATCCTCCAATCCTTTATCACATTATCAAAATACAGTACTGCATCTTACTTTCCTCAATATGTAAATTTCAAGATATAAAATATAGTATAATATAAAACAAAAATACTGTAGTTTAAAAAATATAGAAAACTGTGAAGCAGAATGTTATGAGCGCTGTTGTTACCTTCCTGCGTGCTGGAGGCTGGGCGGCTGCATTGTGGAGACAGGCATAGCACTCATTACAGTCACTGGTGCGCTGACAGCCATCACAGCCTCCACACTTACCACGACCTTTCTTCCCACTTGTCTGTATAAAAGTAAAGTTATTGAGTCATTTGGTAGTTGAAAAAAATTAATCTTTCAATTACTTAATTGTTTTTTCAGTAATGTACACCCTTCAACATTATTGCCTTGACTGTCCCACTGTAGGGGCAGATCCAGGAGAGTCCTGGGGGGTCCAGACCCCCTCTTTTCATCAGAAAATTCCAACACTTTTTCTTTAATGCATTTTTGTATTGTAAAACGTAATTACTATTGACCTCATAATATCTACTCATATCAAGTGGACATGGCCTCAAAATACCCATGATATTGGTCAGATTTAGAAAAAAAGTTCTGGGGGGGTCTGACAGTGCCCCCACCCAAGACCCTTAGCTGGGTGGGCTCACTGTGCTTGCCATGTTCTCTCACCCATAACTTCTTGAACCCCCCTTTTGATATTCCTGGATCTGCCCCTGCATTGTCAGGGACCTACTATATGTCACCACCTATCCTATTCATAATAATTTGGATTTAATTCTTGTATGCTACCCATGATTTGGTAGGTGCTAACTCCCATTGTCCTTAAATCATATCAATATTGTCACCATATCACAGTGTGTCCTACGAGACACGAGTACCAATTTATTTGTGTCTGACCGCATGGTCTTGTGACTAGACTTGTCGTCCCGTGGTAAGCGGTGAGGAGATGATGCTTCTATAGGTTTCTTTGGTAACACCCCAGATACTATTGAACAGCTGATGTCTACCCACAAAATTGAGTAACTGAGCAACACTATATCCATTCAACATTACATTACATAGCATTTTAAAATATGGAGTGAGAAAGCAGAAAGGTTATCCAAACACAATTATATGTCAAACAATAAGACCTACAGTACACTCAATATAAGACTTTGTGGTTGTCATGGCTGAAGCCTTTATCCTGTTTGCATCATTATTAATAATGGTTCTAACAGTTGATGTAGCCAAGTTGAAAGCAGTACCAACATCCACCTGATGGTCACCGGCTACCAACCGCATCAACACTTGTAGTTTTACATCGATGGAATACTTTTCTGTGGGTGGCACTTTAAAATGTACAAGCAGGATTAAAACCTGAAGGCCATTTTCTAAACATGATAAGTAAAAAATAGTCACTAATATAAAAAATCAACGGGTCAACAAGAAATTGTACACAGTGTAAGCACAGCAAATTTGTACAGTAAGTCCCCACTGAATGAAAGGGTTAGATTCCACTAAAATGCTTTTGTTAGGTGGATTATGTTCATCAAAACCATTTTTCCCATATAAATTAATGTAATAAGGGAGGATGGGTTCCTGTACTAGGCTTTGTAATAGAATAGTGTACTGTACTAAGCAATGTGACAAAATAATTGCAACACATCAAAATAATGAAGATAAAAACAATAAAACATAAAGGTACAAATACTGTACACACCAAATACTTGTCAAAAGCAACAGGTGCAGTGGTTGTTCCTTCCCGAGGCCAGAGGATCACAGTTACTTTAACTTATTTAGTTATTGCTAGGGACAGGATCATCTGCCTCTTCACTTGAGGCACTGTTATAACAATGATATGAGTGCGTATTTCCCGCCAAACGTGAGCCAATCGCAGTGACCTGTGAGTGTGAATGCCTTAGGCCTGAACCAATAAGAGAGCCTGGGAGATGTGACGTCATGACCACGTGGTGTCCTGTAGAGGACGTCTGTGTTTGAAATAGACAGTCCGGTTTTGGAGAGAGTGAAGTGTGGGCGTGTGGGTGTCATCATCCCACATGGCGGGATATAATTATACACGAGTACCTCAGGTTTATCCGTGTTTACGAAATGTATTGTGATTCATGTGACCCCCTGGTTAGCTAGCTAGTAAGACAGGTTACTGTTTTGAAAGTGTAACTGTTCATTTTGAGTAACGTTGTTAATAAACGAAGAACCATTATGATTAGTTCTCTATTCCCTTGTGTATGGAGTAATGTCCGAAGTCTTTGGTGTACGCAGTAATACAGTGAGCCATTAGTAATAACATACAATAACTTTCACCGGTTACCCCTATTCTTTGTCTACTAGAATCAATGTACAACTCTTAAAAATTACTATACCTAATTAAATGGAAATGGCAAAAATTTTGGAGGATTTTTATGGGTATTATTTTTTTTCTTGTCATTGAATGGGCATAAATGTTTGGTGTTAGTAATGATCAGTTCATGCTCTTTATATCACTAAAAGCACAAATAATTTCCATCAATAGTTTTTGCTGTATTTTGATTACAAAAATGAATGGAAAAGATAATAATAACAAAGAAACTTATCATCCGAATTTGTTGAAATTTTAATTGATTCACTGTTGGATGATTCTAAATACAGTGGTGAAATTTAATATCAATCCATCCATTAAAAAAAAAAAAGTGTTTTCCAGCTGGATGACCCCCTTAAAGCAGCTCTGCCATTCTTATCCTGATCCTCGGATCTCTGGGGTATCAACGAAAATTGCGGGGTATTTCCCCTATATGTAATCGTCAGTTATACGAAGTGGCAGTTAACGGGATGTTGGTTTTCGGAGTACACCTCTATGTGGTTTACCTACACTTGGCTCAACATGTGTACTGTACAGAAGATGGTGTCCATTAAATTTTACCAATAAAACTTTGTGTACATGTACAGTATATAATGTCTAAGATTCATTGAGAAAAATTGTTACATTTAACTGCATGTCAGTTTTTGTTTTTATATAGTACTGTGAATAACAAAAACACTGTGTATGGCAGCTTAAAGAAGAGAAAGAAAACTCAAAATGTGGAAGCCTCAGTCAAGGTCACTTTGCCAGTTGAGTGTTTCCATATATAAATGCAAATCAGAGAATCCATTTTCTAATATGATGGGGTACTGCTGAATGATGTTTAACTTGGGGTAAGAGAGGAGCAGCAAAACTGAATTACTTTTTTTATTTTCCATTTCAGAAAAGTAAACATTGAAGAAACAGATAATATGAATGACTGCTTAGCTTAGTACTGTACAGTATATGATAAATATGTAGTTTCATGTGTAAAATACCATCTTAATTGAGCTGCCCAGCACTGTAGCAGGATGGGGCTTGGTTTGGACGATTAAAAGAAAAACATTACAATTTGTGACTTTCATGGTAACTGCTACTCCCCTTTGCCTTCACAACTGGACATAGATAAGTTAATAGAAGCCTCATTTACACACAACTGCAGGGTCTCAATTGTTTCTCTTTCTTTGATGCCACAACATACAGTATATCGTTTCTCACTCTTGATTTGCTTAATTTTTTCTCAAACACAACTGTTTCTCACCTTCCGCCTCTTCTTGGAGTCTTCTGGCTCCAGCTCAGCAAGGACACAGCGTTTGTACACACACACCTGCTTCAGTCGGTTGGGTCCTCCAAATTTGGCTTTATCACGACAAAACCTACACTGGCCACAGTCCTCGACCACCTGACAACCCTCACACTCTCCACATCCTTTCCTTTTCCGTCCCATCTGAAAAACCCCACTTACATTAACCTCGGAACTCTTTACATTAAAAATTGCCAGTTACTATTTCACAATCTATTCTGTTATACTCAAGCTTTTAAAACTTTTCAGGTACAAAGTACAGGGTAATTGTAAAGTTATGGTGAGTCAGTTATGAATGAATTTTTGAAAAGCTATACAAAGGCAAAATTAAAGTTGCTAACTTAAGTGGAGACAAATTCACAATGACACTAAAATCTATGGCAGTTCTTTTTAATATACAGTACAATCATGGATTAAATTTACAATAGAACAATAAAATATAAATATTTGAGTACTATACACAACAGCTCCTCATCATTCTTTGTGAAAAACATTTGAAATCTGATAAGTAAGTAAAGACCTTTATAACTTTAAGCAGATAACTTCAAGCCGAGCATAATATGCACAACTTGTTCAATTTATTTGAAGAACTTTACAGTAAGTTCAGGATACTTGGGAGGATTATTGTTTCTGTCAGCTACAGGAAGGTCAATGTCTGAGCACCTGTAAAAGTAGGTGGTTACATCTGATGGCCAAAGCCTCACATGTACTAATCTAATAAAATCAACAGTTGTCATGTTACGATGATCCCGGTAACTGTGATCACTGACGAACAGGCATAACGTTGCCAACTGAGAGCACATATATAAAAGAAATAATATTACTAACGTGTCCGGCATGGTAAAGAGTTTTACGGGCATGAAGTTGACTTCGGTTCACTCCGGGGATCTCCTCGATAACCTCAATGCCATTGTCTTCTGCACTGTCTGTTATGTCTGGGGACACCATGCTGTGATCCTGCAATGGTAAGACTAAGCTAACAGACTACCCACCTGAGTTATACTGTACAAGTATATCAACAGACTAACCACCTGTGTTATACAAGTACTGTATACACTACAGTATTAACATATTCATACCTATATTTCACAAGTCTATTACAAGTACTGTACACTGTAATAGGTTTGTGACCTGTGTATTTCACCATACTTATGGAATGTGCGATACAAGTATGATAACACATGATATAACAAGATACTATATAAACTGTACAGTAGGCTACTATACAAGAAGAATAAAAAAAAATACAGCATACTCATGGTCTGTGCTTCAAAAGTGTACAGAATTATCACATCTGTGCTATACATAAAGAATATTTCAACCTTATCCTTAACAACTTCTATAAAATATGTTTATTTTTATTTTAAAAAAGTGTGGAATAGGAGACAAGTGCCATTGTCAGTTCTCTTCAGGGAGGGGACCCTTTGCCAAACATCAGGGATACAAGCAGTAGGTTGTTTTAAGCTGACAGAGATTATACTATGGCTGGTCTACAGTGTTACTTCGGGGTAGTAACAATACAATCAGTTTATAAGAAATTTGAAGGATGAGTTTACTAATGTGTGTCTCACCTGTAGAGCTGCACAGTGAGAATCTAAAGACAAATCTGCAACTGCTGCCAGATCTGCTTGTTGCTGCGCCATCCCTGCCAAGCTCGCTCCAGAGCCCATGAGTAAGAGAGGAAGGCTGCTGCTGTCCATGCTGTTACTGATGATGGTATTGCTGCTTGCATGACTCATAGAGGATGCTGTGCTACCATTAGGGAGGTTATTGCAGATGTTTTCATTTTGACTTATGTCAATTGCACTCTCAGGTGAGTTTTGTGAGATTAAGGGAGGGAAATTAGTTGACATTTCACTAGCGGAAGGTGGCTGGACCATTTGTGTCACTTCATCAGTTTCCTCCACCACTATGCCTGATTCACTAGAGGTAAACTTTACACTGTTATTGGGGGTAAGAGCAGAACCAGACGATTCCTCTTGTATTGTAGGTTTGGGAGACTCACTTTGGGTTGTTAATGCATTGCTGCTCAGGTTAAGAGCGACCTGATCCTCGCAAGTTACTATACTTGGGTTCCCGTCATTTGCTGCCTCGATGCATGATGCTGTGGTTGTAAGACTAGGGTCACTTGAGGGGGCGCCCGGTGACATGTGCAGATCCTTAACACCTGTGTTCCCAAGTAACGGGCTCTCTGGTGAAGTGGGAGCTAGAAACGGAAACAGTGTTGGGAAACTCTGCAGGCTCGATAAGTTATGGAGATTAGCAAGGCTCTGAAGACTGGCAGAACTGCTTAAACTGGATAGATTGTGTAAACTGTCAAATCCTGGGAGGGATGCCAACTGGGGATTGAGTTTTAATTGTTCATATACTTCCTTGGCTACTTCAGGGGTCATCATACCACTCTTCAGTGTGTACAACAACGGTAAGCTATGTTGACTAGAATTTCTGTTGTTGCTGTTGCTACTGTGCCGACTCCCATTACCACTTCTCCCACTGCTGCCAAACTTGTTGCTGCTACGACTTCTGCTGCTTCCACCATTACTAGAACTTTTGCTTTTGGAGGGAGTGGTGGAAGCTAAAGAATGTTGAGCCCCAAGAGAAGCTAATGCAGATGATGATGTAAAAGTGGCAAGAGTAGATGGCGACATCAAATTGGAGGGCGTCAGTGGAGACAGAAGACCAGTCATACCACCTGGCATCGTAGGAGCTAAAGACGTATGACCACTCAGGTTCAAGTCGGTCTGAGAGGCCAGACTGGAAGCCAGATTGGAAGCCAGACTGGAGGCTGGTATGTTGCAAGATGATGTGGTGGAAGTCGAGGAGTTTGTGGAAGATGTATAAGAAGAGGTGTGAGAAGACATATCTGGGGTGGAAGATGAATGACTCTTGCTGGGCTTGGAAAGGTTGAGGGGCTTGAGGTGAGAGTAGGAAGAATCAAATCCCAAGTCTGCAATGGAGTAGCCACTGGAAAACACTGTCCTAAGAGGGTCAGCTTTAGTCAGCAGCTCACCTAAGATTCCACCACGAGGGTCTGGGGGAGGCACTCTAAGGGATTCTAAGAGAGGCACTCGAGAGGACTCTGGGGGAGGCACTAGGCAGGGGTCAGGAATATCAGCTGGCGCTAGATGGTTTACATTAAGTTTCTGGTAGAGAATCTGGTCTAAGCGGTTGCTGCGGATCCTCTTCCCCGACCTCTCGAAACGTGGCTCCAAGGGCAGCGCCAGGCCCTGGGAGCCATAGATAGTGGACCGTGAAGCTGATTGGGGTCGGGACAGCTCCAACAGTGAACCACCACCTTGAGCAATACAAGTTTTCTGTAGGACGGCACTCAGTTCATCCATTTTGAGAAGTTTTGCAGCCTCTGCCAAGTGATACACACTTGCACCAGCTGGAATGTTGCCTGTGTACAAGCACGCCACCAGTGCTTGTAGTGTTGACAATGATGTACCTGTTGAAGCAACAACCTTTTGTAATATTTCACACAAGAGAATTTTATTGTATTATAGTACTAATACCTATTAGTAATACAGTACATGTACTAGGATTTCAATATAACTTAAAAACTGTACTCTGGTGCAGACCAAACTACTTCGAGCAGAAACTAGGCTTCATCGGACCCACTGTTAATGTTAGATGGGTGATCAACCACCAGGTACACTGTTCACTCATAACTCAGTACAACCACCAGTAACAAGGAACACTGTTCACTTATAACTCAGTACAACCACCAGTAACAAGGAACAGTAGTTATACCTGTGACGGAGATGATGGCGGGGTGATCATTGGCGTGAAGGAGGAGGGACTTGAGGAAGGGTGAGGCAGCAGCCAGGACAGCACAGTGGGCGCCCACGTGACCACCCTCAGCCAGCAACACAGCATCCAGGCCAAACTCCTCCTCATGTAGCTCTCTGAAATAACCATAACCTTCAGTACACATATTGAGTGACAGTGCTGTAGGTCTAGTGGGCTACAGCCCCTTTAACCTTTAATTGTATTCATCTGTCACAGTCTGTCTTTTCCTCTAGCCCTCCTACTGATAGTTTTGTCCATCAACATGTGTCCTTATGGAAAATGAAAATAATAATAATAATAATAATAATAATTGTTGGTTTATCCCTGAAAGCACTACCTGTAGTATTTTCCTACAATTCATTAGAGGACAAAACAATAAAATGCTGAAGTGACCATTAAAGAAGGTAGACACACTAAACATTATAACTACAACAATAAGTCTCTTTAAACCTGTTGCCCCTACAGCTTATAATCCTCTTACATGACAAATAACTGACTCACTCATTCACAGCTTCACTCAGCACCATCAGTATAGGTACAGCAACACCTTCATTGTATCACTGTTATAACTACAAAGCATCAACAAGTCTCTCTTCTGTTCTTATTATATTTTTAAAACAAAACAAAGTGCAGCTATGAACCTTTAAATGTTTCAAAAAGTTATTAACATGTAAGGTAGCTCGAACTGTAGACTATCTTCATCACGTCTAAGAAACACCACCAACTTTCCCATAACAAACTGAAATCCGGGTACAGTATCTATTTATCTATGTACATGCAATCAACCATCAACTGTTGTGGTGCACCAGCCAAGTGGATGCAGTATACTCGCCTCCTGTCCTAGGTATCACTAGTTGGTAACATACCCCAGGCTCACCGGGTCACCTATGCAGGGGTACCTAACTTTGGTGTTGGGAATGTGAAGACAGTCGAGTGCAGTGCCAGCCCCACTCTCTCTTTGTGTATTGTAGGCTTAGTAGACACTGTATCTACACTGTCCTATTACACACACACAATGTCCCTCCACCTGGCACTCTAGGTTTATGACACAACCAGCGAGTCATTAGTCCTATGAATATAATCTCGCGAGTTCTGACGCCGCAACTGCTGCTACCACCAACAACACCACCACCAACATCACCACCACCACCGCCACCACCAACACCATCATCACCACCGCCACTACCACCAACACCATCATCACCAACCGCTGCTACCACCAACACCACCACCACCACCGCCACTACCAATTAATTAACATCACCACCACCACTGCCACGCACTAACACCACCACCACCACTACACACCACCAATTAACACCACCAACAATTGAATACACTACCACAATTGACTTCATCACTGCTACCACATCTCATCACTAATACACCACTGCCGCTCGCTGTTACTCACTGCCGCCACCCTGCCAGAGTTAAAAATCTTGAAAACAAAAATACAGCAAAACTATTTGCTGTTCATAAATATTAATTGAGAAGTGAAAAATGAATAAAAGTAACTGATTGCTTTTCTTTTTATATGCGTAAAAGCGTATAAAAATAATTAATATATATATATATATATATATATATATATATATATATATTGTTGTTGTTGTGTGTGAGAGAGAGAGAGAGAGAGTGTGTGAGAGAGAGAGAGAGAGAGTAAAGAGATATATAGAGGAGGAGAAGAACGTAAAAGACAATAAAAGAATGAAACATAAAATAAAGGTCAAAATGAATTCGAGAAAGAAAGTTCCAGCAAACAACAACAACTACAAAAACAACAACAGTAACAACAACAACAAAAACAACAACAGTAACAACTACAAAAACAACAACAGTAACAACTACAAAAACAACAACAGTAACAACTACAAAAACAACAACAGTAACAACTACAAAAACAACAACAGTAACAACTACAAAAACAACAACAGTAACAACTACAAAAACAACAGCCCTTACAGGGACTGACACATTTGAAAGAGGCTGTGACCTTGACCATCTGCTGTGACCTTAACCCCTAGAGTGACCTTGACCCTCTGCTGTGACCTTAACCCCCTTGTGTGACCTTGACCCCTTAATGTGACCTTGACTCTATGCCAAGAACTTGACCCCCAGCAGGGTGTCTCAAGGGTGGGGTGTAGCTGTACTAGACCCAGAGGCGACAGTACCACAGGGAAGGAGGGAAGGGAACATTAGGAAGGGAAATAGGAGGGGAGGAAATGAAGGGAAGCAGGAGGGAGGGAAGGAAAGGGAAGCAGGGGGAGAGAGGGGGAAGGGAGGGGTATGGAGGGTCAACAACACACTGTCAGGTCAGGTGAAGGGTGTTAAGAGCTGGTTATGGTGTAGGAGTGACAAAACAAAGGCTGCCAGGGGGAGAGAGTGCCACACCAGCGCGTGAGCACCAGCGATCACTTGAAAAGAAAGTTATGGAAAAAAGAGTCGTCTCCGAATACTGCGGTCGTCCCAAGACTGCCAACATTGCGACACCCAACAGCAACTGTCCACCAGACCAGAAATTGTGACCTGCCCCTCCAACACGACACACTGTCTCACACCAGCGCAGCAAAGAATAAAAATGTCAAAGGGAGACGAATTCCCTCGCTACGCCCACTGACGTGAGCCATGACGGTGGTGAGGAGCAGCGCCGCCACACCCAAGATAAACAGGAAATAACAATGGTTTTAGGAGTGAGGTGAGTGTGAGGGAGGTGCGCTGGTGGTTGTAAACACTCGCCAGGAGACACACGGACACAAACACCACATTATGTTTGGCACAGTTCCGCAAACCTCCCGCCCTGGTGTCCTCACAGAAGGGTGGGTGCTGCTGCGGCTGTACCTGCTGGTTATCTCACGTCACTTCTCGGGTCCCACCTCCTCCTACCTCCCAACAGCTGCATGTGACCCAACTACCCCCGGCAGCTGCATGTGACCCAACTACCCCCAGCAGCTGCGTGTGACCTAACTACCGCAGCAAGTGTCAGAGGACGGTGGGAGGTACTGTAATTAATGTGAGGGTGCGACTTACCTGATGGCGTGGACGAGGTGGGCGTCATGGCGGGGGTTGGACAGCTGGGACTTAGGGCTGGGGGTCTTCTTGTGGCTCTTGTGTTCCCTGGGACGCTCCCCGACCCTCTTTGTGTCCCCGCCCTCAGGCGTGGCCGCGCCCGCTCTGCTCGAGTCCTTCCTGTCGCGAGATGACTTATGACACTTATCCAGCCTCTCCTGCAAGTAGTTGACGCCCTCTCCGCCGTAGGGAAGGAAGGGGCGGAGATTGTCCATGCCCAGCGGGTACATGGCTTTGGTACCCTCCACGCCCCTGGCGGCCAATAGGGCCATGGTGCCCTCCAGCCCCTGCAGCAAGAGTGACTTGGAGCCGTCAGGGCAGTGAGGGAAGTGAGACTTAAAAGTTTCAGCGACGGAGTTAAGGTGAGAAGGAGTCCCATCCATGGCCAGCGTGAGGGGCGACTTTACTCTGTCGGGGAAGAGCTGTGGGACTGGGGACTCCTCCAGTCGCAGCGGGAAGTGGGGCTTGGGGGCCTCCAGTGTGTCTGAGAGCAGTGACCTGGCTTCCTCCATGACGCGGGCGAGGGTCGTGGGCCGCCGGGGACCACCACCAAGGTCCTCCTCTCCTCCTCACACCTGCCGCGCCACACAAACACACACACACGCTCGCTGCTACATCAACCTCCACCAACAACCTCTCCCGGTCTGTAGAAAAACAAACTTAGTTAATCTGTAAACGATAACACTATCACACCCTGAATAATAATAATAATAATAATAATTAACAATAATAATAATAATTGAAATACAGTATAGCAGTAACAGTACATACTAATAATAATACTAATAACATTAAGTCCTTCAAGAAGAACTTAACAAAGAGATATAGTAGTGGTGGTGATCAGCAGCAGGTACAGCACAACACAGCATATATAGCTAATACTTACGGTCATTTATTAAGACATATATTAACCATGTTCTCTTACACACACACACACACACACACACCTGTCAACGGAAACCTGCCTTTACAGTTTACCATATGAAGGCGATCGAGTGTAATACCAACCACAACACCTCCTTGTGTACTGAGAAGAGGTTAGTCTACACTGTGCCCTTAGCGGGTCGTCAGGCGTATAGGACACACCATCAATTCTCTGTGTCAACACGTTATACAAACTTTACTTATAATTGTAAGTAAATTTTAGCTTTTTTCTCTCAGTGACCGATACATGGTGCTACAGTGTTAAGTGAATATCTACTTATACTGTGTGTGTAGGGAGGGGGGGGGGGTAGCATCAGGGGCGGTGTTAGGCAGTAACGAGTGCGTCTATTTTCACCAGCTGAGAGACGATGGTAATCCCAGGTGGTGACGCAGTTGGTGTGGCGGTGATGGTGAGGACAGATGGTTTCCACACACACGCACACACACAACCACAACCTCTTCCACATTTCACTCCTTCACATCCACCACCACTACTACTACCACTTACCACAACTACCATCACCCAAATTACCATAATCACTTCACCTGTCACCACCATCACCTACCACAACTACCACCAACCAGAGGAAGGTGTTGGTATTCTATAAATGTACTGAGATCGGCAACAGGCGTGGGCGTTATTACGTAATGGTGGTGGTTGTTGTTGTTCGGTAGTGGGCGCAGTCAAGTGTGTGTGTGTGATAAAACCTTCATTATGCAGTACTGTATAAGTAGTATATGAACGTCTCCATGAATATACCTACAACACAATCATAACATATTATATACCTATAATGTATTCTCATAATATTACGTTAATATTACGTCAACTTTATATAACATATAATGTTACCTCCACCATCATATATATATATATATATATATATATATATATATATATATATATATATATATATATATATATATATATATATATACCTACCACTTCATTATACACGGGTTAAATTATATTAGGAGAGTGTCCCAGAGGTAGTAAACCTCTGGGACACTAAGAGAGAGAGAGAGAGATTATCCCCACTACGAGTTAAACCACACAATACAACGGTTGTTTTAATAAACCCGGGAATAAATTTAGAGGATGGTCAACCACCTATTGGGTTACTAGGTAGGGGGGGGGGGAGGGACTATTGATACAAAGTACTGGTAAATATGGCGGAAAATATGTACATGACTATACTATATCCTAGGATATATTTAATTGTTGAATACTACTACTACTAGTATAATAAAATAATAATAATAATAATAATAATAATAATAATAATCATAATCATAATCATAATAATAATAATAATAATAATAATAATAATAATAATAATAATAATAATAATAATAATAATAATAATAATAATAATAATAATAATAATAATAATAATAATTATTATTATTATTATTATTATTATTATTATTATGATTATGATTATTATTATTATTATTATTATTATTATTATTATTATTATTATTATTATTATTATTAGATATTATTCAGGTGTAGTGAAATATGGTGGGCCTTTACCCTAGAGTTCAACACACACATACACCAACACACACACGCACGCACAAACACACACACACACACACACACATGCATTGGTTGGGTAGGTGGGTGGGTGGGTGGGTAGCAGGACGGGCAACTGCTGGCAGGGTGAATGGGTGGGTGGGTAAGGCAAAGGAACCCAACTTAATGGGCGGCAGCGTGAATACAAAGGCAACAGGGTAGCTCTGGGAAGGTTGGGTGAGCGGGCATCAGTGGGACGGTGGATGGGTAAAATGGGAGGGTGGGCATGTAGAGTGGGAGGGTGAGCGTGCACAGTGGGACGGTGGGCGTGCAGAGTGGGACGGTGGGCGTGCAGAGTGAGAGGGTTGCCGGGTACCATGGGAGGATAAGCGTGTAGAGTGGGAATGTGGGTGAGTGGGCAAAATGGGTGGGTGGGAGGGAGGCCAGAGTGGGCGGGTGAGAGGCCGGCTGGGTGGGCGGGGATACAGCAACATCCTCTGGGCGGTACAAGGGATCTGGCCGCCGGAAACCTCCTTTGTCCTGTCGGTAATTGTCGGGGTTCCCAGCACCTCCCAGCTCTCAGCACCTCCCAACTCTCAGTACCTCTCAGCTCCCAGCTTCTAGCTCTCAGCACCTCCCAGATCTCAACATCTCCCAGCTCTCAGCACCTCCCAGCTCTCAGCACCTCCCAACCCCTCCCAGCGCTCAGCACCTCCCAGCTCTCAGCACCTCCCAGCTCTCAACCACTCCAGCTCTCAGCACCTCCCAGAACTCAGAACCTCCCAGCTACCAACACCCCTCAGATTCTAGCTCCCAGCTCCGCTCAGCTCTCAGCACTTCCCAGATCTCAGCCTCTAGCTCTCAGCACCTCCCTGTTTCTAATAAGCGCTACCTAGAAGCTCTCGGCTTATAGCTCTAGGTACTTCCCAGCTCCCAGACTCGTTGCAACAGTTAGGAGACTCTTTTCAGCAGTTAGGAGACTCTTTCCAACAGTTCAGACTCGCTACAGCAGTTCAGAGACTCGGGGTTGTACGGGGACTTGTGCTCATGAGTGTAAATCAGTTAATACGTCAAAAAGTGTTTGTGACAAATTTGATCACAATTCATCGCATAGGAGACGTTAACTTCACGACGTATCTACCCTAATTCCAGACGGACGGACAACAAAACCAAAGCAGGAATTGTTCATTATGTGTAGGAAGCCTCTCTTGTAGGAAAAAAAATCACTCGCAAGGGATAAAACACAACAGGCAGATCAGAAGAGGCAGGTGTGTGTGTGTGTGTGTGTGTGTTGAGGTTATCAAACACGAGTAAATAAGGTTATTATGTTTTTCCAACTTACGATACAGTCTCAGCATGTTTTTGACGCCACAAGTGTCAGATATACTTAGTTTTCTCTCCCATATATATTAATTGTGGTACTTTAGATGCCTTCTCACAGCTCAAAATAGGGTAAAACTTAACGTAGAAAGTTTTGAGAATCAATCTTTGTGCCGTAGTTTAGGTGAACCAGTTAGTAGGGAAAAACTTAAAGTACGATTTAGTGAGAGTTAAGACAAACCCAGACGACAGTAGCGGTGGCGGCGGCAGTGACGGTGGCAGTGACGGCGGCAGTATCGGTTTTCGGGGAGGTCGGGGGCAGCGTGTGAGAGTCCAGCCGGCAGGTGTGGCGGCGACGGCGTTTTAAATATGCACCTGTAAACACCTGTGCCTTCCCCCACCTCCTGCTGGCCTTACTGCTGCTCTCTCTCTCTCTCTCTCTCTCCCACACACACACACACACACCTGCTCTTTACAGCTGCACCACTCATGACAAAATAAGACACTTGCAATACTCCACATGTTACTTAAACCGTGTCATTTACAGTTGACCCATGTGTACACCTAACCAAATAACGTGCATACTCTGACACCTCTTGACACCCCTTAACACCTCCTGACACCCCTTAACACCTCCTGACACCCCTTAACACACTCCTGACACCTTAACACCTCTTGGCACCCCCTAACACCTCTTGACACCCCTTAACACACTCCTGACACCTAACACCTCTTGGCACCCCTAACACCTCTTGACACCCCTTAACACACTCCTGACACCCCTTAACACCTCCTGACACCCTTAACACCTCTTGACACCCCTTAACACACTCCTGACACCCCTTAACACCTCTTGGCACCCCCTAACACCTCTTGACACCCCTTAACACACTCCTGACACCCCTTAACACACTCCTGACACCCCTTAACACCTCTTGACACCCCTTAACACACACCTGACACCCTATGACACACTGACACACCCTTGATCTCCTTCAACCTCACCCTGGACCCCTGAACATCACCCCGAACCCCTCAACATCACCCCGGACCTCTTACCATCACCCCGGACCCCTTAACATCACCCTTAACCCCGTCCCTGGAGAGAGAGAGAGAGAGAGACGCTAGCAATGGGGACTTAGTTGGGTTGTGCTGAGTGGAAGGCCAAGCTAATTGGTGAGAGGTGCCGACCCCAAGGTGAGAGATGCTCCATACCCCCCTCTTTCCTCCCTGTTGAAATTGGGAGCTGAACTTGGTATTGTAATTGGGAGGGATGAAATGCATGAAGGAGAGAAAAGGAGAGAGAAAGAGAGTAGATGAGAGATTAGGGAAAGGAGAGAAGGAGGAGACAGAAAGAGAGGAAAGGGGAGATTGAGGAGAGAGTGAGGGAAGAAGAGGAGGAGAGACGAGAAGGAGGGATATGTTGTTGGGGGGTGGGGGAACCTTAGTAGTAGTAGTAGTAGTATGCATAATGGAGGTGGTTAATGATGATGTTAGGGCAGCTGCAGGGAGCCTACAAGTATGTGATGACCACCAGGCCGGGGGGAAAGATGCCATTCACGCCATGAGAAAGATATTTGAGCAGCGCGATTATGAGGCCGTTCTACTGGTTAACACCTGCAACACATTCAACATAATCAACCGCAAGGCTACACTGGACAACATCAAGATCAAGTGTCCAAGCTTTGCAATGTATGTTGAAAACACCTACAGGAACCCATCAGACCTCTATGTAACAAGCTTCAAGGACCTACGAGGAGATACCACCATACAGCCAACTAAGGGAACTATGGAAGGGGACCCAGTCGTCATGGCAATGTATGCACTAGGCCTAGCCGTTCTTCAACATACAATAAACTATGAAACAGCCAATGTCAAGCA